CACCAGAATAACTGCTTTAGTGAAATTAAACCCCTCTTTTCCAATAATATGCAAAGAAATCTAGTAAATTAGGTTACCAACAACACTGATACTATAAATAATGCTTCATGTTAACATTTTTTCTTCAATGAAATCATAGTAAGTTAAAAGGATTTACTGGGAAACAAGAACAAAGAAGAATATAAAAAATCAAACAGATTTTTAAAGCACACAAGCATCAAGGTATAGTAGTTTCAACAGGTATTCGTATTAATAAACAATAATGATAAATTCAAAATTAAGTGCAGTCAAAAGTATTTAAAATGTACAAATAAGCTAGGAAAAGCAGGGATCAAAGCTGGGATCTCTGAATAGTTTTAACAACATTCCCATTGATTTCTAGCACTTACTGTTGAAATAAGATAGAAGTACTGAACAATTTATTAAGCTATTACCTTTGACTCAAAGGGTAGTTTTTTCTTGACACGTGGTGCCCAGTACTTATTTGCCAACTGTAAGATAAAAGATCATGTCATTAAAATATCTAAACACAAATGCAAGAAAGCTTTTACCATATTTTCTCCAAGCCACAGAACAATGTGAGAATATTTCTGCCTCATAATATCCAATGTATACAGTACTGTTAAGGGCCCGATGCTCTGTCTAAACTGTCTAAACTGAATAAACACTACTGTCTATTCTGAACACTCCCTAGAAGCCCAGATGACAAAACTGAGCCTGTCATACTTCAGCCACATCACGAGAAGGCATGACTCACCAGAAAAGACAATAATGTTAGAAAAGTTGGGAGGCAGATGGATAGATTTAACCAAGGAGGACATAAGCCTGAGTGTTTAAGACCTAAGCAGACCTAAGGTGTCTTGGAGGTGTCTCATTCACAGGGTCACCATGAACTGTGGTCAATTCAAAGGCAGTTAACAATAAACTCTTTCCAGGATGAGCTTGTAGCTGGCCACTCTCTCAGAATAAGTGAACAGCATTCAGGCAAACATTTACACCCCACCTTTCTTGCAATGAGATTAAGGCAGTATATATTGTTCTGATCCACACTCTGTCCTCACAACAACCCTGTGAGGTAGGTCTGTATGAGGGTGACTGGCCCAAGGTCATCCAGTAAATGCCATGTCTGTGCGAGCTTGAATCTGGACATCCCAAACATCAGTCCAAATCACTCTGGTTCTTAATTTTGTGGGGTTGTATAATAGGCTCCTTTGACAATCAGATAAAAGTAAAATGCATTTAAACACGACTTTCAAAATAAAAGGAAACTAAAAGTCAGTTTTTATGCATGGATCCCCTAAAGCCCAGAGTCTCTGAACGACAGAGTAAGAACCCATACTCTAAACACTGCATAATACTGGCTTTTTGAGTTCGATGATGATGATGATGATGACGATGATGATATCCTGCCTTCATCCCAGTACAGGGACTCAAGATGGGATATTTAGATTCTCATAGTTAAATAAGACAAAATGCTTTCCAAGATGCTATATGCTTTACAACCATAATAGGCCTACTTTTTGAATATACTTCTGATCACTTCCTAGTAACTACAAACTGAAGGCTATGAGTGAAACAACTAACAAGTGATGACAGCACAAAAGGAAGAGACATTGATGCTAGTCTACTAGTCTCTTGTCTGCATCTGCACAGCAGAAATAAAGCAGTTTGACATCGCTTTAACTACCATGTCTAAGTGCTATGGAATTCTGGGAATTGTAGTTTTGTGAGGCACTTAGCCTTCTCTCTTGGAGAACTCTGATGCCAAAAGAAACTACAAATCCCAGAATTCCACAACACTAAGTCATTCATTTAAATCTAAGTTGGTTGCTCTGCCTATATCTTGTGGAAGCAAATTCCATAGTTTAATTAGGAATGAAGAGAAGGACAAAATGCAGATGGGTGAACCAGCTTAAGTAAACTACAGAAACATCTTATACCTGGACTCCCACATGATAGCAGGCTGTGCCTCTAGAACTGTGGTTTTCAACTTGGGGTCTCCAGATATGTTGTTGTTGTTTACCTTCAAGTTGTTTCTGACTTATGGTGACCCTAAGGCAAACTGATCATGGGGTTTTCTTAGCAAGTTTCTCCACGGGGTGGTGGGGTGTTGTTGTTGAAGATGATGATGATGATGATAATGATGACATCCTCTGAGGCTGAGAGAGTATAACTTGACCAAGGTCACCCCAATGAGTTTACATGGCCAAGCTGAGATTTGGTTCCAGATATCTTGGATTTCAATTTCCAGAATCCCTCATATTCATGCTGGCTGGTGCTTCTGGGAGATATAAGACCAACATCTAGACAGGATCACACACAGACCCCTGCAGACAGGCAGGCAAAGTGAAGTACAGTGGCCCTCAGTATCCACTAGGGTTTGGTTCCAGGACCCCCCTGCCACGTGAATACCAAAATCTGGGGATGCTCAAGTCTAATTAAATACATGGTTTATAAAACAGCATCCCTTGTATAAAATGGTAAAATCATTGCTTTTTAGATTTTTAAAAAATAACTTCAAGCCATGGATGATTGAAGTTGTGGATGCAAAGTTTGTGGATATGAAGAGCAGACTGAACTCCAGGTGTTCTCAAGCTGAAGTTCTCATCCTGCATCATTGGCTACCTTGGCTAAGGAGGATGGGACTTGCAGACACCAACACCAGAAACAGGCAAGATCCTAAAAAGTAAAAATTTACAACTGAGCACTAAAGTTAGAATTGTCCAAGCCACTGCATTCCCTCTGTATGGATGTGAGATCTGGATGGTGAAGAAAGTGGATAAGAGGAAAATCAGCTTATCTGAGATGTGGTGATGGAGAAGAGTGCTGAGGATACCATGGATGGTCAAAAAGACAAACAAATGGGCCCTACAACAGATCAAGCCAGAAATTTCCTTGGAAGCCAAAATAATAAAGTGAAGCTATCATATTTCGGCCACTTCATGAGAAGACACAACTCACTGGAAAAGACAATGATGCTAAGAAAGGTAGAAGGTAGCAGAAAGAGAGGACGGCCACACGTCAAAATGGCTAGACTCAATCAGGGAGGTCACAGGCCATGAGCATGCAAGACCTAAGCAGAGTAGTTGAAGGCAGGGGCAGGGTGACAAGATGTCCTCACTGCAGAGGAGGACAAGGCACCTTAAAATGTAGAACATTCAAGAAAAATGGAGAACAGAACTATAAAAAAACTAAAAGCACTCATATAAATACAAATTCATGATTCTTAGTGATACTCAAAATGGAGAGCATTCTGGAATTCCTCCAGGACAGAAGGTTGAACTAGAGGACATCTCCTGGAAAAGGAGGACATCTGATCATCCTGGGCAGAAGGTCTTGCAGAGGTTTCATGCACAGGGTCGCCATGAGTCAAAGTCAACTCAAGTTAACAACAACTGCTTGAAAAAGTTACTTGCACAGGGAGACTACAACTCTACAGCTTGAAAAAGTTACTTGCACGGGGAGGCTACAACTCTCAGAATCCCTCACTATGCATCCTGGGTGACAGTTTTTGGGAA